CCAAAAGAGTAAAAAGAGAACCTACAGACTGGGAAAAAATTTTTGGACAGTACAAGTCAGACAAAGGTCTAATCTCCATAATCTGTAAGAAAATCTAACACCTCTACAACAAAAAGACAAATAATACTATTAAAAAATGGGCAAAGGAAATGAACAGACACTTCACCAAAGAAGACATTCAAACAGCCAATAGAAAATGTTCACCAATTGTTAATAATTATATCTAATGATAGAATTTTAAATAGTTTTTATTTTTGTTTTCATATTCCTTGTAATGACTCAGTCTTCTACAGTAAATATGATTAGGAAATATATTCACAGAAATCAAAATTTTAAAGGTACAAATGAGTTCACAGTAAAAATTCCTCACATCTCCCTGTTACCAACCATTCAATTCTCCTTTCTGAAAGTAAAAAAAGTAATCAGTTTCCTATGTAAGTTTTCTGAAATATTTTATACAAGTAGTCCCCAACTTATGAAGTATCTGAGATATGACAAGCCGCACTTACAACCATCTGGTTTTTTTTTTTTGTACATCTTCTCGTTAGGAATATGTTCTACATACAATGTTGCAGTGCGTAATTTGCTGATGTTATCATTCTCAGATGTTCATTCACAGATGCTCAAAGATCAAATTTATAAAGATCCTGATAAAAAACTAATAATAATGAAAACTTAAAAAAAAAAAACGGGGTATTCAACTTACATCAGAACCGACCTACAACAGAGTCGGCAGAGCAGAACCCCATTATAAGTCAGGGACTACTTGTATACAGAATAATAAAGAAAATGTGTGTATATGTGTGTGTTCACAGATATACATATATGTCTTAGTTTCCTAGTGCTGCCATGAGAAGAACGTCACAAGTGGGTGGCTTTAAAGAACAGGAATTTACTGTCTCTGTTTTGGAGGCTAGACGTCTAAATCAGGGCTTTGGCTCTAAGGGAGGGTCCTTTCTGATCGGTAGCTCTGGGCATTCCTTGGTGTTAACCCACTGCAGCATCCACTCTAAATCCAAAATCTCATCATCTAAATAATCTAAATTAGATATGCATGAGACTAACACAGTTCATGCTGGAGAAAAATTCCTCTCCATCTGTGGACCTGTGAAACCTAGGATACAAGTTATCTGCTTCCAAAGGACAATGGTGAAACAGGCACAAGGTAGACATTCCCATTCCAAAAGGAAGAAATGGGAGGGAAAAGGAGGTCATGGGTACCAAGCAAATCCAAAACCCAGAAGGGCAAAACTCATTAGAATTCAAGTTTTGAAGTCCCCTGTTCTCTAGGTATATCTGGGCAACAGCACCACCTTCCAGACTCCGGCTGTTGGTCCCACTCTCTGGATTGTGGGCTGTGGGTGGAGGCCCCTGGGCCCTATACATCAGCCCTACTTTCCATGCCTACTGGGGCAGGAAGCCCCAGCCCTGGGCAGCCCCATTTTCCCAGCTCACAGAGTCGCTGCCCACACCTCCTCAACTTTGATCAGTGGCCCCATTTTCTAGGCCCACTGATGCAGCAGCGCCACCCTCTGGAACCGAGGTGGTGGTCCTACCCAGTGAAACCTAGGTAGCAGCCCTATCCATTAAAGCCTAGGCAGTAGTCCCATCCTTTAAAACCCAGGAAGCAGCTACTCTGCCACACATGCTTCTTCCAACAGCCCTGCTAGCGTCTGAACTGCTCCTCAGTTCACCATTTTCATATTCTCGGAACACAATAAATTAGCCAAGTAGCTCCAATGGCCTGTTTTCTGCCTGCTGAATTCCGGGAATCTGACAGCTTTCCTTCGTTTTTGTCAGTCTCTGACCCCTTCAATCTAAACTGAGTGTTTCTGCTGAGATGGCTGACTGGAGACATAGGTTACATGCTTATCTTCAAGTTCTGGTTTCTTTTTGCTTAAAAGTTCATTTCTAAATCTATGTCTTTCCTCTTGCATCCTACTATAAGTAGCAAGGTGAAACCAAGCCAAATCAAAGACCCCCAGCCAACTTAAAGACACTTTGAGGAGCACAGGTGAGATCACCACAGCCACCTAGCCGAGTACAGTCTTCATTGGGTGACCCCCCCAACTTAGTTGCATGAACTAAATAAATGTTTACTGTTGTATGCCACTGGTATTTTCTCTTTTTGTTCTTTTATGGCAATAACTAACTGATACACAACCAAAGGAATTTTTCTCTCAATAAGATACAACCTGATGGGCCACAAATGATTAAATAAAAGCTCCTAAATACGTTTACTTTAAAATTTAAGTAACTTTGTAACTCTTCCTTTTTGAGATTACAGAAGTCTGTGTGTATGTATATATATATAATATACATATATATGCATATATAGTATAGTTTTGTACCAGATTTATTTTTCACTAAACATTATGTCATATACACATTTCTTTATCATTAAAACTCTTCAAAATTGTGACTTTAATGGCCATAGTATTATATCATGAATTTCTCTATTTCCTTATATTGAACATTTACATTCAACATTTCTCATCCTTAATCCTATCTAAGCCATTCACTCCTATGATGACAACTAAATCTTGTCACTAAATAATCTCATTTTCAAACAGCAAGTACGAGCAGTCCTTGGATTATGAACATCCGACTTACGGACAACTCATACTTGCCCTTTAATGTTTTGTAAATGTGCCCTCACTTTGAAACAACTGAACCAACCCCTACTCGCAACATATTCTTCATCACAATTACCTTTAGTTGCTACAGGTGCAGCTTTTAAATCACTGAAAAGGCTTCTAGGTTTTTTCCTGCACTAAAGTAAGGCTAAATAAGAACCGTATGCACCTGTTCCAACTTACCTACAAATTCTTAAAGACACCCTCAGGGAACAGATCTTGTTCGTAGCCCAGGGACTGCCTGTATTCCGACCATCACCTTTTATCTTTCCAACTCATTCCCTCTAATATGTTCTATTTTATGAAACTTACTATTTCCCCCCATGTAAAATACTGTGTGTATTATATTTGTCAATTCGATTAATATCTAGAAATTAATTTTACTCTTTAAGTGATTTCCCAAACGCTAAAGCTTTGCTTGTAGGACAGACTATTCACTGCAGCTACAATTTATTTTAACCCAAGTGTATCCAAAATTAGGACATTATTCCTGTGGGTAAACAGAATTCATTTCATGACAAGCCATTTCATAACCTTATTATAAAACTCATTACCTTTTTATGATAATTTAATGTAAATAAAGGTAAAAATCATTAAGGAATCTATTTCATGCTATCCTCAAAATATTCTCATGCAGCCAAGTTAAGATAAATTATTTTTAAGTTACCCCAAAATTCGGTAGCTGAGTAATATTCAGATTTAAGAATTTGTAGTTCTTATTCTTAATTGCTGGCAGTCAAATTATAATTTTCCATAACTTCAGTGATATAGCTTTCAGTATTTCTATGATTTCAGAACTGAATGATAAGATTAAAGTATGGCTCCCAGTCAAGAAAAACTTAAATAGCATCTACAGTGTATGTCCAATATTGTGTTAACAAATATTAAGATGAAAAAATAAGTAAAGGTAAAATCCTTGTCCTTGAAAAGTTTGCAATATAGATAGACAAGTATACAGACACTGCAAATATAAATAAATATATTTAACATTATTCTCACCTTTATCACAAGGAAAACATCTTGGGAAGGATAGGTGATAGAAAAAATAGCTGATCTTGCCAGAGTGGTAATGGCGGCAGGTGGTATATGTGGACGTAACAACCCTTTCATCTGCTCAGAATTAAGGTCAAAATAAAAGTTTTCTGAAATCTAAAAAACAGGTTCATATATTAAATTTTAAAATCAATGCATTTTACAAAAACTCACAAAAATCATCTATACCTAGTCTTAAAATATTATAGATACTAGAACACTATACTCTAACCTACAGTTTATCTTACATTTCACTGAGACCATCTTTATACGTCTAAGTCAAAGCAAAAGAAATGTAAAAACTATTTAGAAAATAAAATATAATAAACATATTCTAAAGAATCATATACTAAACTCTTTTGATTAAAAATGTAACCTTTAATAAAGTACACAGAGAAATTATCACTGAGATGAATTACTCCAAATTAAGTTTTTAAAAAATTACATGAACAGTATCTCAGCAGTTTAGACTTAGCAACTACAAGTTGCTGGAGCAGAGTTCCACTGCAGAAATCCGTATCTTATATGTTAACAGCAAAAGTCACTGAAGACACTTGAAGTTTCTACATACACTAGACTTAGAATATTAAATTAAGAAATGTTGTATGAGATAGCACTTTGAAAAACTCCGAAGTGTAATAAAGATATGATAGTAAAATTCAAGACATAATATTTAAAATATACATAAATGACCTTTTAGCTAGTGAGAATTTGGAAATTATACCAACAAAAACTCACTGTCATAATCAGTGTCTTCTCATATACCATTTAACTAAAATGCTTTTCTTGTATTATGTTTTCTATTTCTTAAAAGAAAGTTGTTATTGGTTCTTGCTTTTGAAACTCTTTCAATGAGACAAAACTAGGTTTCATCAATTATCTTTTTTAAAAAGAGCCATGCTTAATAATTCTCAAAAAAAAAACAATTACTTATTCATCTTATAAAAGAACTTAAAAACATTTCTAAAATCTCTGATTGTGACAAAAGGCTACATTCAAATTATATAACCATACCTTTTTCTTTTCCTTGACATCATATAAAGCCAAACTTGCAAAAATGGGTTCAATTTCAATCTCAAACCTTTAAGAAGAAAAAAGATACAGTAATTTAAAAACAAATATAAAAAAAAACATAGGAAATTCCCATTCCAAAAACATTTTCTACGTCTGGGTCTCTGCCTACACTACACCTTCTTCCTAAAATACATTTTTTCATGTGTATCTTTCACAGTGTAAATCAACCATTACTTCTTCTAGGTAATCCTCCTTGATTTCTCCAGCTACAAGTACTCTCAAACTTCCTAAAAGCTCCACAGCATTTTATCATTTCTATTTTGTAGCACTACTTACTTTCCCACCTGTAATTTGGTTATTTATATACATGGTAATATTTACATTTTAAGTAAGCTTTTAAAAATAAAGGCCTAATACAGTGTATTTTTTCACATTATAAATTATATAGTCAATGCAAAATACTTTTAAAAATACGTAAAAATATATGCATATATGTGCTGGTATATAGAAAGAAAATTTATATTCTGTATCAGGAATTGGCAAACATTTTCTATAAAAAGCCAAGATTTCAGGCTTTATGAGCTATATGGTCTCTGTCATAATTACTCAATTTAGCCATGTACAGCAAAAGCAGCCAGACAATATGTAAATAAATGAAGATGACTGTGTTTGAATAAAACTTTGGTTATGGACACTAAAATCTGAATTCATGTAATTTTCTCATGTTACAAAATATTATCCTCCTTTTAATTTTTGCAAATACCATTCTAGCTTGCAGTCTGTACAAAAACAGGCAGTGGGCAAGATTTTGGTCCACGGGCCATAGTTTGCTGATCCCTATTGATACATATGAGTATACTGATACATATGAGGATATCATCAATCTTCCTACTAAATTATAAACTTTTTTGAGGGTATTTTTTATATTCATCTTTAAAACCACCACAAAGGTAGCACAATGTTTAGCCTAAAGGTAGATAATTAAAAATACTTATTACATAAATAACTCCCATGTTTAATTTTTTTATAAAGCGTTCATATAATGTGATTTATGGGCAGAAACGAACTAAAACACTCAATACCAGGAAAGATATTGATAAAGAGGGTAGTAATTCCTAAAATTATCTTAATTAGTTTATGGCTAGGTCTTTATTTTTGTTGCTCTCAGCATTTTACATACACACACACACACACTCTCTCTCTCACTCTCTGCTGGACTCAGTTTACTAAAATGTTGTTTAGAGTTTCTACAACTATGTCTACGTGTGAGATTGGTCTATGAAATCGTAGTTATGGGTTGAACTGTGTCCCCCAAAAGATATGCTGAAGTCCTATGAATGTGACCTTGTGAACTTCGCGTACGTATTTAGCTAACATGAGGTCATACCGGAGTAGGGCAGACCCTAATCCAACATGACTGGTGTCCTTATAAGAGGAGAGAGACACAGAGGGAAGATGGTCATGTGAAGACAGAAGAAGAGGTAGGAGTTATGCTGCTGCGAGCCAAGGAACGTGTGGGGCTAAGAGAAACTAAATTTGCCCTCATAGCTTTTTTAAAAAGATATAGACAAGGGACTATCTTCCCCCAGAGCTTTCAGAGAGACCATGGCCCTTCTAACGCCCTGAATTTGGACTTCTAACCTTCAGAAGTGAGCGAGAATAAATTTTTGTTATTCTGTCACCCAGTTTGTGGTACTATGTTATGGCACCCCTAGGACACTACAGTGTGGTCAACATTATACAACTTCATAAAACAAGCAGGGAATTGCTCCCTCTTTGTCTGTTCTCTGAAAGGGTTTATTTCTTAAGTCACTTCTTCCCTGAATGTTAGAAAGAATTTACCAGTGAAGCCATTTGGAACAAATTAGCATTTTCAAAACAAGTTATAACAGAACTTTGACCCCTAGGTCAAATTTGATAATCACATCGTAAATATTTTTACATCGTTAGTGATTTTTACTTATTCTATCAGTTAATATAAGAATTATGTTAAAATTTCTCACTATTATTGTAAATGTTCCTTTTTGTCCTTGTAGTTCTGTACTTTGTGTTTTATATATTTTGAGGTTTTATTACTGTTGTTGTTAGGTGCCACAGAGTCGGCCCCAGACTCATGGCAACCCATGCATTACAGAGCAGAACTGCTTACATCTACCATGTAAACTGAATATTTTATTATTATAAAGGGCCCTTCTTTATCTCTGTATGCTTTTGTCTTAAAGTACAATTTGTCTGATATTAATAACTGTTAGCATTTATTTGGTCTATTTTCACCCTTTAACTTTTAACCTTTTTATATCCTTACAGTTTAGATGCATCTCTGTAAGGAGTATGAAGTTGGGTTTTGTTTATATCTTCATTCTGATAATACCAAAAAGAAAAAAATCAAATCTCTTGCTGTCAATTCTGGGTCATAGCGATCCTATAGAACAGAGTAGATCTGCCCCTTAGGGTTTCCAAGGAGCAGCTGGTGGAACTGAACTGCTGACCTTCCGATTAGCACCCAAACTCTTAACCACTGCGCCACCAGGGCTCCACTCTGACAACAGCTCTCTTTAAATTAGATGACTTAGTACACTTATATTTCACATAATTATTGATATAGTTGGCTTATGCCTACCATTTACTAATTGTTTTCTATTTTTTCTTGTGTGTTCCATTTATTTTGTCTCTCATTTCTTATCTTCTTTTGGATTATTTTTTATTATTTCATTTTCTATATTACCATGGCAGTAATATACTTTTTAAAATATACTATTAGTGGTTATTCTACGTTTACAAATTATTACGACGTATCAAATGTTGATGTTACTTGGTATTTTTATCCTCTTCCTAGACAATAAAAACACTTTCAAATGCTTGAACTCCATTTATTTCACTCCCAATTTATACAGCACTGTTGTCACACAAACCTTGTAAGAGATCATTACACATGCCTTAGATAGTCAAGTTCATTTAGACTTACCTACATATTTACTGTTTTCATTGCTTTTAATTTCTCCCTGTATCTCTGAACATTCACCTGGGCTCATTTTTCTTCTACCTAAAGAGCAACCTTTAATGTTTCCTTTAGTCAGGCCTGCAACTAATTAATTCTCTCTATTGTTACTTGTCTACAAATGTCTCTATTTCACCTTCATTCTTCAAGATAAAAATATTCTTACACTAAGTATAGAATTCTAGCTGCCAGTTATTTTTATTGTTTTGAAGGTATCTTTCCACTATCTTTGCTTCCATCGTTTTGACTGAGTCTAAGAGATGTCAGTCTACTTACTGCTATTCTCAGGACAGCGTATCTTTTCTTCTCTACTTTTAAGATTTCCTTACCTTGTTTAGAGTTCAGCAGTTTTATAATGATGTGCCTCAGTACAGATTTCTTTTTATTCTTTGCTTTGGAATTAACAGGCTTCTGAAATCTTTAGCTTTATATATTTCTTCAGTTTTGGAATATTCTCAGCCACTATCGCCCAAAACACTGTTTCTGCACCACTCTCTCCTTTTCTACTGAGACTACAAATACATGTGTTTGTGTGCCTTTTACTCTCCCTTCTGTATCTTCTATCCATTTGTCTCCCTGTGCTCATTTGGATTTTTTTTTTCTTTTATTTTCTAGTAATCTGCACTGCTTTTAAATCTATTTACTGATTATTAATTTTGGTTACTGTATCTCTCAGTTCTGAAATTTCCATTTGGCTCCTCTTTTTTATAATCTCCAGTTCTCTGTTGAAATTTTTCAGTGTTCTCTTTTATCTTCTTAAATATGGCAAACAATTACTTTAAAGTCACTATCTAAAACTTCTGTATTTGGAATCTCTGCAGGTGTGCTTCTATTATCTATTTTCACTGCTGATTTTTATTCTTACAGTCTTGACTCTGTGTGTTTAGTTATTTCCATTTATGTGTCAAACATTTCAATATTGTTTATAAAAATAATCTGAAATTTGTTGTTGTTGTATGCTGTCGAGTTGATTTCAACCGATAGCGACACTACAAGACAGAGTAGAACTGCCCCATAGGGTTTCCTAGGCTGTAACTTCACAGGAGCAGATTTCCAGGTCCTTTCTCCCATGGAGCGGCTGATGGGTTGGAACCACTTTTTGGTTAGGAGGTGAGTGCTTAACCATTACATCATTAGGGCTCCTATTTGATATTTAGGACAATGTTATTTCCCTCCAAGAGGATTTACATTTGCTTCTGGGCACGTGGGGGACTACTAATCAGGGAACCTCACAATCCAATTTCAGAGATTTAGATCATTCAAAGCTGAACTGCAGAACCTAAGAAGACATATTTTATTAAATCGTATTCCTAAAGTAGAGCCATTTAGGATGCCAATCCAAAGCACAGGAGTTTCACCAGGACTACCTGGCCTTCAACTTTAGTTAGCCCTAAACTCCAACTTCTGTCTCACTTGCCCCACAAGTCTTTTTAAAAAAGTGATGCTCGGCCTCAGCAATCAGTATACACCCTGCTCTCATCCTGGACTCTCATCCTCCACTAATCTAGACAGAGTAATTCTTTACGATTTTGCTAGCTCTCTGACACCTTCAAGCAGATTTCTTCAAAAATTTGCTACCTTTTCTAGTTTCATCAGTGGGAGTGTATCTGAATCACCAAGTCCTGTATTTCCAAAAGTTGAGGTACTACACATTTTTTAATCTTTTAAATAAAACAAAACACTATTCTACTTCAAAGGATACTTATCTAGATAAAGGGGTAGGTTTCCAATGTTTCTAATACTAACTTCCATAGCAACACTTTGGAGAAAGAGGGACAGAAAGTTTCTAAATATTTGAAGGGACTAACAAAACAAACCTAGAAAAAATTCTTAACAAACTAGACAAAATGAAAGACTCATTTCAACTGATTTAAAATGCATGAAAAAGTAAACACACTTCTAAAAGCATATACAGAGTAAAATATAAAGTTATTTGTAGCTTGAGGCATGCAAAAGATACTTTAAAAATGCAACTTTTTATTGGTACAATTCTGAGATATATTTAGGCAGAAACAAATGGTACATACTACTATTTGAGTATTCACTAATAAGGTCCAAAAACATTTGCTCTTACCAAAGGTCTTCAAAGGTTACTAGGGGCAAGAGTTATTGCTCAGGGGACAGCTGATGGAAACATTTGGAAATGGATAGTGGTGATGGTTGCAGAACATGATGAATATAATTAATGTCACTGAATCGTATGTGTCAAAAAATGTTGAAATGGCAAATGTTTTCTTATATATATCTTTAACATAATAAAAATAAAGGGTCTCAAATTAAACTCAGTAGTTCAATACTATGTACATAGACACACATACACACGCACACAGACACTCCATATATGTTTGTTAAATAAGTGAATCTGTCCAACAACATACTTTTTTTTTTTCTTCCATTTTTGAAGAGAAACACTATAGTTGCCCCAACAGACAGTGATAGTTTTGCTAGTCTCTTAGGTATGGGATAAACCTATTGCCGTCGAGTCGATGCCAACTCATAGCGACCCTACACAACAGAGTAGAACTGTCTCATGCGGTTTTCAAGGCTGTGATCTTTACAGAAGCAGACTGATACATCTTTCTCTACAGAGCAGATGGTGGGTTCAAGCTGCCGACCTTTAGGTTAGCAGTCAAGTGCTTAACCACTGAGCCACCAAAGCTTCTTATAGAATAAAATCCCCCTAAAAATGATGTTAATCTTTTTTAAGAAAAGCTTACTTACGTAAGAAGAGCTCATCTACTAAAAATGATACAGAGATAGTGTTATGGGTTGAATTCTGTCCCCCAAAAAGATTTGCTGAAGTACTATCCCCCACTACCTGTGAATGTAACCTTACATGGAAATAGAGTCTTTGGAGATGCAATTAGTTAACATGAGGTCATACTGGAGTAGGGTGGGCCCTAATCCAATATGACTGGTATTTTTGTAAGAGGAGAAGAGACACAGAGACAGAGAGACACATGCGGAAGAATGCCATGTAAAGACTGAGGCAGAGATTGGAGTTGTGCTGCCCACAAGCCACGGAAAGCCTAGGGCTACCAGAAGATGGAAAAGGCAAAGAAGGAGTTCCCCTAGAACCTTCAGTAAGAACATGGTCCTGCTGATATCCTGAATTCAGGCTTCTAGCCTCCAGAACTGTGAGAGTAAATTTCTGTGGTTTAAACCATCCAGGTGGTAATCTGTTATGGCAGCCCCAGGAAAGTAACACAGACTTTATAGTGATTTTTTTTTTCCCCCTAAATGAAGATGCCATTAGGTAACAGGAGGTCATACTGGAATAGGGTGGGGACCAAATCAAAAAAAAAAAAGAAAAAAAGGATAAGAAACACAAAGAGAGAGATACAGAGGAATGCCTGAGGTTACCAGAAGCTAGGAAGAGGTACAGAGAAGTAGAAGGGTCATGAAAAGATAGCGGCAGAGATTGGAGTGATGCATCTACAAGGAGCTAAGAAGAGACAGGGAGGATATTCCCTTAGAGACCAGGGCCCTGCTGACACCTTCATTTCAGATTTCTCACCTCCAGAATTATAAGACAATAAATTTCTGGTTGTTTTAAGCCACCCCATTTGTGGTACTTTGTTACAGCAACCCTAGGAAACTAATACACACACATATTGCTGGTTGATGATGTAAAATGGTATAGCCACTTTGGAAACCAGTTTGGCATTTCCTCAAAAAGTTTAACATGAAGTTATCATATCACCCAGCATTTACTATTCCTACTTATCTACCCAAGAGAAATGAAAACATTTGTTCATGCATAAACTTCTACACAAATGTTCATAGCAACATGATTCATAATAGCCAAAAACAGAAATAACCCAAATGTCTACCAACTGGGGAATGAATAAACAAATGTGGTGTATCCATCCAATGGAATATCAGTCTGTCATAAAAAGAACAGAAATACTGATACATGCTACAATATACATGAACCTTGAAAACATAATATTAAGTGAAATAAGTCAGACACAAAGGACCATATATAGGAAATACCCAGAACAGGCAAATCCATAGACAGAGAAAATAGACTGGTCTTTGCCTAGGCTGCGGAAGCTGAGAAAAACGGAAAGTGACTGCTAATCGGTATGGAATTACTTTTTAGGGTGATGAAAATGTTCTAAAATTGATCGTGGTGATGGTTGCACAACTCTATCAATATACTAAAAATCACTAAATTGTACACTGGGTGAATTTACTTTGTGTACACCAAGTGAATTATATAGTAGGTGAATTATATCTCAGTAAAGCTGTTATTTAAAAAAAAAAACAAAAGTGGAAAAAAATTCAAATGTTCCTCAATTAATGAATTTATAAACAAAATGTGGCATAGTCATACAATGTACAGTGGAATACTATTCATCCATAAAAAGGAATGAAGTACTGATACATGGTACAATATTAATGAACCTTGAAAAAAGAGATTTCACTGTTTTTTCAAGCTTTAAGAATAATTGTGCAGCTTTAACAAAGAGTTACCTTCACCTGTGAGCCAAAATGCTTTAAAGCTCAGTTTCATATGTAAGTTTAAATGCTCAATAGCATTTAAAGTGACGTATAGAAGAATATTATTTCTCAAAAGGACACAAATACAAGTATAAAATCTACTAGGATTGTTATACTCAAAATATCACCCCAGAAAATAAACGTTTATATAGTAAAAGAAAAAAATACTCACTTGAGTGATAAACATTTTACAAGAAGTCTTTGACCAAAATGTTCTTTGGGTACATCAGGAACACTAAGTCGTTCTATTGGTTCTTCCTACAAATTGACAAATAACATCAAAATGAATATCCTTATCATCTTTCAGCCCTTTATAATTTATCTTTTTAAGAACTTATTTTACTAATCCTTTTAATCTTCACAATTTAACACTGGGGAAAATAACTTATTTGTACTATTAGATCATAAGTGTGTTCAACTCACAGAAGTTACTCATTAAGAATAATAAATTCACTAGTATAAAAAGTGTATTTCATTTACAGAAATAATGGCTATATTTCAACTAAGTTTTACTCTCTGTATTATTACAAGTCTACGATATATAATTCAGGGATCCTGGTGGCACAGTGGCTAACAGCTAGGGCTGCTAATCAAAGGGTAGGCAGTTCGAATCCACAAGCCACTCCTTAGAAACCATATCAGGCAGCTCCACTCTATTCTATAGGGTCACTATGAGTTGGAACTGACTTGACGGCAATGGGTTTGGTTTTGGTATATATAATTCATACTCCTAAAACCTCTATCTTAATAATCATTATTTGCTTTTTTATATTTTATAATACCTCATCTGGTGATGGATGCAAAGCAAAGAGTTCTTTGTGACGATTTGATTTCCTTTGGTCATCATTCTGATGGTCTATTTCTTCATTTGGAGTTCGATCAAGTAAATTGGGAAGCAAAGCATCAGGAAGTGAATTTTTCAAGTCAAAAATACTGCAGGCCCAGCTACCTCTTGGAGTATCATCTATCGACATTGAACGTCTTTTAAGATCATCCTGTCATGTAAAACATTAAATATATTAATTAATTAACTAAAAGAAATTATTTTAAAATACCTTCTAATAGTCATATAATTTAAAAGTATTACTTGCTCATCCTGGTAGTTGTTGCCATCTGGAGCTTCATCAGATTCAAAGACCTGTTTTGGTAAACCTTTTTGCCTTTCTTTCTGTTTATCTAATGTATTAGGATTAAATCCTGTTCCCAGCTTGTGATACCTATTCAAAATAAATAATTAAATAAATCTCAATTTTAAAAAATTCTCACTTTTTAATCATTATTACATAACAAGCCGACTGTTCTCGGCATTATTTTTTTTTTGCAAATTACCCTGTTTGTCTGTTGTATTGTGTTTTAAGTCAAAGTTTACACAGCAAATTAGATTTCCATTCAACAATTCACACACAAATTTTTCTGTGACATTGGTTACAATCCCCATAATGTGTCAGCACTCTTAACATGTAACATTTCTACCCCTCCTACTTCATTTCCATTCATCCAGTTTCCCTACCCCTCCTTGCCTTCTCATCTTTGCTTTTGTGTAAATGTTGACCTACTGGTTTCATATAGTTGACAGTTTAAAGGAATACAACAGAGGGTCCCAGACAGAGCTGGAGAAAAATGTAGAACAAAATTCTAACTCACAAAAACAGACCAGACTTACTGGCCTAACAGAGACTGGAGAAACTCCGAGGGTATGGCCCCCAGACACCCTTTCAGCTCAGTAATGAAGTCACTCCCGAGGTTCACCCTTCAGCCAAAGATTAGATAGCCCCATAAAACAAAACAAGACTAAAGGGGCACAACAACCCAGGGACTAGGAACTAGAAGGCAGGAGAGAACAGGAAAGCTGGTAATAGGGAACCCAAGGTCGAGAAGGGAGAGTGTTGACAGGTCGTGAGGTTGTTAACCAATGTCATAAAACAATATGTGTACTGACTGTTTAATGAGAAACTATTTGTTCTGTAAACCTTCACCTAAAGTACATTTTTAAAAATTACTATATATATATATATTTTATAAAGCTTTGAGTCTTAAAAATTTTAACTAATCAAAAACAAAGTTTTTTGTTATAGCTCATTATGTCTTAAACAACCTAAAGCTGAAAACTTGTGAAATGAAAAACAGCAAAATCTTTAACACCATTGTGTACATATAGTTACATAAATACACATAAAACTAAGAACTGTTAAATGAATATATTCTTTCTAACAACCCAATATCCAAGAACATTAAAGAGAGACACCAAGGGCAGCTCAAAGAGCAATTACTGTTCATGATTCAACATGCTGTGTAGCCAAACTGTGAGAAAATTTTAATTGGGGCAAAAACAATTATGATTACCAGAAGAGGTATAGTTCTTGCTATCTGCCAATTAATGAAATAAGGGGATCACATTTGACATGAATCATTCACATCCTGCCTTGTTGCTAAAGTTATTGAAATAGCAGCTACATGATATTAACATCACAACATAATCACAAAATAAAAGAGCACTTTTCTCAGGAAGAACAAATATAAAGACATTCATTACAGTAACGTGAAAGGTATTATTCAACAGATGTTTTAATCTTCCCTGAAATGTATAAAGTGCTTAATTTTTGATGTTGCATATCTAAGCTGCTCTGATAAATCAGAATGTTACATTCTGCCTCCTTTATGTCCTAAAAAAGTGACAGTATGGAATTCAAGACAGCTGAGAAGAATGATTCAGGATCATACTCCTTTTTTATATTATCATTCTGTTCCCCAGTCAGTTGTTAAAAGGTCCTAATGATATCTCATCCAATTCCATATCACCATTTCTATGACTTCATCTCTTGGCCTTCTCACCCTCACTTATTCTGCTCCCATCACAGTGACCTCCTTGTTATTCCTTGAACACTCTCAGCATGTTTCCAATATGGGGTCTTTGCATGTACTATTCTTATGTCTATCTAATACACTCTTTTTCCCTAATACACTCAACCCAGATATCCATGTGGCTACTTCCTTCAGGGGTCAGCTCAAATTCATCTTAACAGTATGTCTTCTCTGACTACTTACATAAAATAAAAAATTCAGCCCCTCCTCTTGGTCCTCCCTATCCCCCTCACCTCACTTTATTTTTTCTCCATAAAACTTACTGCATCATATCTATTATATGTTTACAAGTGTTTGTCTATTGTCTGTTGCCCTCACCACCCACTAGAATGTAAGCTTCATGAGGACTGGGAATTGGTTTTGTTCACTGCTGTCTCATTACTGCTTAATATAATGCCTGGCCTGGCACATACTAGACTCTTACTATTTGTTGAATAAATAACTCCATGAAGTATTTTCTGTCTTTACTCTTCTTTGCTGAACTATGGAAGAATTTTATAGCTTCATTTTATAGTACACTATTTCATTCTTCAACTATATCCACTCTGCCATTAAGCCCATCTCTTGAGTTTTCTTATATTTTTTCACTGATGAAAATTTTAATTTCCAAAAATAACTAGTTGACTTTTCGATAGTTACAATATTCTTTCACATCTCTTTGAGAATATTAATTATACTTATGGATCTTGATCTGTTGCTCAATTAACTATACCCTAAATTGTTAGTTCTTTTATTGTGTTTTGATAATTCTCTTTCAATCCATGAGTTTTCATCAAATACTTGGCAAATCTGGGTTCTATGCTCATCTTTGAATTTGTATTCCCCATATCTGTCTGGAAGTACTGTATCTGCTTACCCCAGTGCACATCCAGTGGTTATGGGACAGAGGGAGCTCACACTGCCAGGAAGAGTCTATCAGTACCTAGTCTTCTGGTTATGAAAGCTTCCTCTTCCTCCATAGTGTTGTCAACCACCATGGGTACTATCTTATCAGCACAAGCCCCCATAAGTACTGCTCCTAAGAGAGGCAGACACCTCTACTGTCACTGCTGTGCACAAGCAGTACAAGGGTTTCAAAGCAATCCAGTTCTCCCAACAGTTGCCCGAGGCCTCCCTTCCATTGCCTGTATTCACTGCTTCTGAGCTTAAAGCACTACTGAAGCTTTTGTATAAATCTTATCCCTAGGTTATTCTGTACTGTAGCTTTTCTCTTCTGTTTCAGTCACACCTATCTTCTATCTTTGAGGTACACCTCATAACTTCTAGTCTGCCCTTTTGTCTTTCATTTATCATGGCAGATAATGAATAATGTCTAGTTTCAAAACCAAACCAAACCCATTGCCCTCAAGTCAATTCCGACTCACAGCGACCCTATAGGACAGAATAGAACTGCCCCACAGGGTAATGACTAGTGTAATAGAATAAAAATATGAGCTTTAAAATTTGACACCCCTGGGTTCTAATCCCAGCTACTCTACTTTTTGGCTTGAGGGACCTCAGAGAAGTCACTTAACTACTCTTGAAACTGAGTATCTTATCTGTTGAAACCTTACCTGAGATGAGTATAAAGTTACCAATAAAACGCCCAGCATATAGTAAGTACCCAATAAATGTTAATTTCCTTACCCTCTTACCTAAATAAGGTCAGCAACCCCATTCTAAAATTAAATAGCAGATTCCATGATTCTGAGGTCAATGTGTTTTGCAACTAACCTCTTTTTATTAAGATTTCTCATTATAAGTTTCCAACATATATGCATAAATGTAAAGACTTTTGAATTATCTGACAGAGGAACACTTTTCTTCAGTAATGTCTAAAATCTGGTATACTTATCAAAATTTTGAGTTCATAAAAGCAGCTCTTCTTTATAAACAGCGGTAGATTGTGCTTGTATTAGGTGACACTAAAACTGAAAAGCATGTCAGCAGTATCCCCCAGAGTGATGCTTAGCACAATATTAAGCCCAGTGAAATAAGACAGAAGCCATAGGGCGAAACAATAAGCAATGGATACATCACTGTTGCTCTTGCTGTTTAGCAGATTACTTTCTTTGTGGAATCTACTCCAGTCCTTATGTTTCCTTTAGAAAAAAAAAATAAGGCTGAAAATTGTCAGTATGAAGATCCTTCTTCATTATGCAAATTAGTAAAGAAAAAGTAGTTTTATTTTGTTTCTTAATCTGACTTCACATTTCAAACAAAGTCCGTTGGAAAAATAAATTTTATGGTAGAACAAAACATTATTTTTTACAAATATTTGGCTGATATGATGGCACAGGTCCTGTAAGTATTTATTGATTTTTTATTGTAATTTAGATGAAGGTTTACAGAACAAACTAGTTTCTCATTAAACAGTTAGTACACATATTGTTTCATGACATTGGTTAACAACACGACATGTCAACACTCTCCCTTCTCGACCTTGGGTTCCCTATTACCAGCTTTCCTGTCCTCTCCTGCCTTCTAGTCCTTGTCCCTGGGCTGTTGTGCCCCATTAGTCTCATTTTGTTTTATGGGGCTGTCTAATCTTTGGCTGAAGGGTGAACCTCAGGAGTGACTTCATTACTGAGCTAACAGGGTGTCACGGGGCGGTGTGTTGGGGCGGGGGGGTCCTGTACTTAGTTAGTTAATAACAGGCAAACAGCTTGATCTGGAAAATTGGCTATTAAATTTTACTTAACAATTTAAGTCTCACCAAACTGTATTCCTTTGAGAAATATAAATTATTTAACAATATCCACCCCTAATTCCCTAAAAAGAATTTAGACTACAAAATCATTATCATCATATACCATTCATTATTAATGATCTATGATAATAGAGAAATACTATTCCCACAAACCTAATATTCAATAGGAAAAGTAAGTAAAAGTAATTATGGAACTCATAAAGAGAAAATGTCTATATACTAAAGTCTTTTGTTTTCACTTCTGTTTTTTTAAATGAATTTTCAGGTCTCTATTATTAGTCTACAGGGTCACTATGAATTAGAATGGGCTTGACAGCAACAGGTATTATTAATCTACCTTAATCCATTTATGAATCCTACTCAGTATTTTAAATGTTATAATAAACATATAACTTACTTTCTGATCACAATTGCCCAATCTTCAGTATAACTTCTTATACAATCTCTAACATGTGGATCCATTTCACTATTTTAAAAGAGAGAATATATTTGTAATTTACAGAAAAAGCTTTGATGTTTGATTTTGCTTACTGCAGTTCTTGTTCCTATATTAGGAAACAACAACACCACAAAAATAGGATCTAAATAAAATACTGGAAGGTAGCCTTTCTATACTTACACTAAAACCAAAAATAAGTAAATGTCTCCTTACCTTTCTTCTGGTACAGCTGAAACAAGAGTTCTGCAATCCCTAGGACTATAAACAACTTCAATATCATCTGGAGGAAATTCAATCAAATCCCTTAAAGGCCCAGAATCCACAGCTAAAGGATGAGTAATGAGGTAATCTTCCAAATCCACTGGATCCACTGCTTCAGTAAGGGGCACCTTTACAAAATGGGTAGGGGAAGGAGCATGAGAGGTGGACAGAAAGAGCAGTGAAAAGTTATTATTTTTTAAAAGATAGTAAGTTTTAACCTAGCTCTTTCTAAAATTTCAACAGATATCCAGTCAGATGCACTAAAGAAGCTATAAAGTGTTGGCCTGCTTACACTCCTTTATGCTTTTGGTCATACTCTCTTTAAACTTATTGCTTAGACCTTGCTCATGCCTCTCAGATAAAAACAGTGATAATAATTAACAATTTTATAATACTTTACAGTTTACAAAGTGCTAACTGGAAGATTTTTCTTTTTTGTATGTTTGGGATTTTCAATGCTAAATTCCTCAACAGTGTTTTTATTTTATATGCAGTTATCGTTGATTATTCTATTAAAAATGCATAACCAGATTATGGTAGGCTGAAAAATTCCCCTCCAAAGGATATCCACATGCTAATGTCTGAAACCTGTGAATGTTACTTTATATGCAAGAAAAAAAGGGGGGGTCCTTAGAGATGTGACTAAAGACCTTGAAATGGGAACATTTTTTTTTCCTTTTTTTTATTGTACTTCAGGTGAAGGTTTACAGAACAAATAGTCTCTCATTAAACAGTAGTACACATATTGTTTTATGACATTGGTTAACAACCCCACAACATGTCAACGTTCTCCTTTCTCAACCTTTTTTTTTTTTGGTGAAAATATACGTAGCCAAAGATACACCATTTCAAAAATTTCTGCAGGCACAGTTCAGTGACATCAACTACACTCTTCCAACTGTGCTGCTAATCTCACTTTAGATGAAGGTTTACAGATCAAAATAGTTTCTAATTAAACAGTTAGTACACATGTTGCCCTATGACAATGGTTAACAACCTCACAACACATCAACACTGTCCTTACTCAACCTTGGGTTCCCTATCACCAGCTTCCCTGTCCCCTTCTGCCTTCTAGCAAAATGGGAACATTTTCTGGATTATCTGGGTGTGCCCTAAATAAAATCACATGTATCCTTAAAAGAAGCCAGAGAGAGATTTGGGCCACACATAGAGAGGAAAAGGCCACATGAAGATAGGGCAGAGACAGATTTGAAAATGCTGGTCTAGAAGACAGGAGTGATGTGGTCACAAGCCAAGGAATGCTGGCAGTCACCAGTAAGAAACGAATCCCCCCTTAGAGCCTCCAGAGAGAGCACAACCCTGCCAACACCACACCTTGACATCAACCAGTGATAATGATTTGAGACTTCTGGCCTTCAGAGCTGTGAGAGAATAAACTTCTCTTGTTTTAGGCCACCCAGTTTGTGGTAATTTGTTACAGCAGCCACAGGAAACTAATACACAGACCCTGTGAAAAATATCTATTTCAAAAGATAGAAGATTCATGGCATTCCTTAGCCAAGCTGAAAATATACTTTTCAATAAGATAATGATATTTTTGTCTAATCCACGTAAGAAAAAATACTCAGGTAAAATTATGAAGGACATATAAAAAATCTGCAGTTGTGGACCAATGAAAATAAGAGCTTGTTATTTCTCAAGATGTTCAAATGGGTTAAAAACACTAAGATCTGCCTTTGTATAGTTCTCCATTACTAAGTAGAAGATGCATTAATTTATGCATGTTTGGACTGAACAACTAGTAAAAGGCAGGAAAACAACATTCTAAATATACTGAATAAAATAATGGATGCATAGTACATCATACAACACCCAAAACATACTGCTATTATTATTACCATTATCATGTTATCTCATTTAAACTTCCCCAAAATCTTGTAAGTTAGGCATTAATATCATTTCAGTTCTACAAACAAAGGTATTTGTGCTCAAAAAAGTTAAGAAACTTCTGAAAATAAAAGTCACAAAATGAAACAGCAGAAATTAGAAACTGGATCTTTAAACTCTAAAATTCACGATGTTTCTTCTTATAAGCATTCTATCTTATCCACCCTATTAAAAACACATTACACTAGGTGTTCATAACAGAGGGGAATAAAGCAGTCTAATAGGAAAAGAAAAATCTTTTTCAACTAATGTTGCCGGAAAAACTGGATATCACTATGGAAAAATAATGAATCTCAATTCACACACTACTATATATACAAAAATTAAGTTGAGATGAGTAACAGACATAAACATAAGAGCTAAAAGTATAAAACTTCTAGAAGAAAACATAAAAGAATGTTTTCACAACTTGGAAATAGGCAAACGTTTCTTAGACATAACTCATAAAGGGTTAATCATAAAAGAAAAAATTGATACATCAAGACACTATTAAGGAAAAAAATACAAATAAATCAAGAAAAAGAAATAAAAGGTATCCAGATTGGAAAAGAAGAAGTAAAATTATCTCTATTCACAAATGATATAATCCTATATACAAAAAAATCCCAAAGAGTCCACAGAAAAGCTTCTAGAGCTAACAGAGGAATTTAGCAAAGTTGCAGGTACAAGGTTAACAAACAAAAATCAGTTGGGTTTCTATACACCAGCAATGAAAAATCTGAAAGGGAAATTAGAGAAATAATTCCATTTAAATTAGCATCTAAGAGAATAAAATACCTAGCAATAAATCTAACCAGGGATGTGAAGGACTTAAACAATGAAAACAATAAAACACTGCTGAAAGATATTAAAGAAGATGAAAATAAATGGAAAGATGTTCCATGTTCATGGACTGGAAGACTTAATATGGTTAAGATGTCAATACTACCTAAAATGATCTACAGAGTCAACAAAATTCCGACAGCTTTCTTTACATAAATAGAAAAACCAATCCTCAATTTTATATGGAATGTCAAGAAGCCCTGAATAGTTAAAGCAATGTTGAAAGAGAAGAACAAAGTAGGAGGACTAACACTTCCTGATTTCAAAACATACTGTATACTGAAAGTAACAAAAACAGCCTGGTCAACAAACACACAGACCAATGGAATAGAATTGAGAGTCCAGAAATAAATCCACACATCTATGGTCAACTGATACTTGACAAGGGTGCTAAGTTCACTGGATGGAGAAAGAAGTGTCTCTCCAATAAATGATGCTCGGAAAATTGGATTTCCACATGCAGAAAAATGAAAAAGGACCCATGGCTCACACCATACACAAAAACAAATTCAAAATGGATTAAAGACCTCAATGTACAAACTAAAACCATAAAAGTCTTAGAAGAACAGGCAGAGACAGCACTGTCAGGCCTCGCCATCAACGATGGATTATCTGATGTAAAAACAAAAGCACAAACAGTAAAAAACAAAATAAATAAAAGGGATCTCATAAAAATTAAAAACTTCTGTTCCTCAAAATATTTTACCAAAAAAGTGAAAAGACAAGCTGACTGGGAGATTATCTTCAGAAACCATATATCCAACAAGACTCTAATAACCAAAATATATATAAAAATTCGACAACAACAAAAAGACAAATAACCCAATCATAAAATGGGCAAAGGACCTCAATAGATATTTTACCAAAGAGGACATTCAAATGGCCACCAAACACATGAAAAGGCACTCAGCGTTACTAGCTATCAGAGAGACGCAAACCAAAACCACAATGAAATACCATTTCACTCCCACTAGGATGACTAAGGAAACCCTGGTGGCACAGTGGTTAAGAGCATAGCTGCTAACAAAAAGGTCAGCAGTTCGAATCTACCAGCCACTCCTTCGAAACCCTGTGGGGCAGTTCTACTCTGTCCTATAGGGTCACTATGAGTCAGAATCAACTTGACAGCAATGGGTTTGGTTTTTTTGGTTTTAGGATTGCTGAAATTAAAACAAAAACAAACAAACAAAAAAAAACCAGAAAATAATAAACGTTGGCAAGGATGTGGGGAAACTGGAACCCTTATCCATTGCTGGCAGGAATGCAAAATGGTACAGGTGTTGTGGAAAACATAGTTCCTCAAAACAACTAAGACTAGAACTACCATATGACCCAGCAATTCCACTCCTATGTATATATATATACCCAAAAGACTTGAAAGCAGAGACTCAAAAAGAGACTTCTACACCAATGTTCACTGCAGCACTATTCACAATAGCCTAAAGGTGGAAACAACCTAAATGCCCACCAACAGATGAATGAATAAACAAAATGTGGTACATACATACAATAGAATACTACTCAGCCAGAAGGAAAAATGAAGTCTTGATACATGCTACAATATGGATGGAGCTGGAAGACATTCTACCCTGTCCTGTAGGGTTGCTATGAGTCGGCATCGACTTGACAGAAAGGGCTTGGTTTTTGATTTGGAAGACATTACACTGAGCGAAACAAACCAACCACAAAAGAGAAAATATTGTATGACCTCATTTATATAAAAAGATAAGGCAAATGTATAGACCAAAGTTTATCAGCAGTTACCAGAGATGGAAGGGAGGGGGAAAGAAGGGTTAATGGTGATGGAAAAATTAACTTTGCTAACTCGTGGGATATATGGTATCCCGACTACATTTTATGCCACTTGAGTTCTTTGGTAAGGAGGTAGCCCGATTTTAACACATTTAGCCTCAAGGTGGGAGCCTTTCCAAATGCGTGAATCTTAAGAATACTGAGTTGGAGTCCTCATTTTTGTGCAGATTGAGCACTATCTTAGGTAATGTCTCCTGGATGTGTGGATTTTCTTAATTGTTCACAGGCTTGCTTTTATTTCTGTGACATAAGCTGCCTCACTACATTTCCCAGTTACTATGTTCTCCTAAGAATGTATTTATCACAAGGATAAGCTGTTCCCAGTCTTCATTCAGTCACAGTGGCCATTTTCTCCCTGGCACCATTCACGTTCCCAGGTGTTAACTGTCTCCCTGCTTTTCTGGCTTTTAAACACTAAATAATGCCTTTGCAATAAGGAATAATGCATTGCAGTGGTACTTTTCAGAAGACTCAAACTCCTGTAAGTTATTCTTAACCCTGCATTCAATCTTAAGGTCCAGTCATTGCTACAGATGGAATGCACCGCTGTGAGCAGTTCTGCAGTATTCCAAGCAGCTCTTTCTGC